TTTTTTTTTTCTTGGAAAGGACTCTGATATTAAATTCATGTACAAATTTGACTCCTGCGCATGTATCCATGTTCAGAGATTTGGCCAGTTAGTGCCAAAGAGCTACAACTTAAAATGTTAAGTTCACTGAACTAAATTGGGCTCTTTGAATTTCAGAAACATTAAACTGACTTTAAAAATCAAGTTGAATCTAGTATAACATATAAAAAAGCTGAAATTGCTTAAATTATTTTTATGAGTTAAAGTAACTTAAAAACATAAGTTGTCATGGCTTTTTCATCATATCATTTTTTACAGTGTAGGAATTTATTTTTTAGTTTTCTCAACTTTTTGCTGTATAAACTGAATACAATAAGTTGAGAAAACTCAAAAATGTCCTGAAGCTGGTTGCCTTAAACATTTAAGTTTTCTCCGCTTTTGATTTTTTACAGTGTACATTGCATAAGTATTTAGTTGAAGCACCTCAAGTGATTTTGGGTAGGACACGACAAGCTTGGCACATTACACAATTATTGGCAATTATCTGCCATTCTTCTCCTCACCTCTTCACCTCTCGAGCTCTGTCAGGTTGGATGCGGGGCAGACACATTTTCAGGTTTCTCCAGAAATGTTTGATTGGGTTCAAGCTCAAGGACATTCACAGAGTTGTCTATAAGCCACTCTTGCTGTGTGCTTGGGGTCATTGTTCTGTTGGAAGGTGAACCTTCTGCCCAGTCTGAGGTTCTGAATGAGTTTTCATTAAGGCTATCTCTATATTTTGGTGCACTGAGCTTTTCTTCTACTCTGATGAGTCCCTCAGTTCCTGCTGCTGAAAAACAGCCCCACAGCATGAGGCTGCTACCAGCACACTTTACTTTTGGGTTGCTCCTCTGCAGGTGATGAGCAGAGATGGTTTACTTCAAACATGATGCTTGAAACTGAGGTTCATCAGACCAGAGAATCTTGTTTCTCACAGTCTTAGGGTCCTTCCTAGAGTGACCATCAGGTTCTTGGTCACCAGTCTAGACAAGCCCCTTCTCCATCAATTGCTCAGTTTGGCCAGGAGGCCAGCACTAGGAAGAGTCCTGGTTGTTTTAAACTTCTTCCAGGGTAATAGAGATTACATGCTTCTGTGAACCTTCAATGTTGCAGATTTTTTTCCTGAACTCTTCCTCAGATCGGTGTCTTGACACAATCCTGTATCTGAGCTCTGCAGTCAGTTCTTTTGACCCCAGGACTCTTAGACCTCAGCTCTTAGACCTTTTGTTGAGATGTTGTGTGCCTTTCCAAATCATACTCATTCTCTGCCACAGGTTAACTCCACTCGAAGTGTAACATCTACAAGCAATATGAATGCTCCTGATGAGCTGAATTTCACGTGTCCCAGAAATACTTATGCAACGTAATTGTTTCAGTTTTTTTAAGAGCTTGATTAGCTGGTTCATGTGTGTTTGATTAGGGTTGGAACTGAACTCTGCAGGACAGTGGGTCCCCAGGTTAAAGATATGCATTAGACAATAACAAGTGACCAAAAGAATGGAAAGATGCAATTTATACATCATGAATGGACTGATTGCAAACTGTAGTTAACATGAGCCATACATGTGTTTTCTACATTTTGATACCAAGGACCTTCAAAACTTGCATTCTGTTTAGGATAAACAGTAAATCAGAATACAAGTGCATTGCTTGTGCAACTGAATGCTCAAATAGTTTACTTACCTACATTTCCAACAGTCTACGATTAATGAAATCAGGTCAGATCTCACAGGGATCTAAACCAACAGAAGAGGGAAAAATAAACTCCTATTCTCTTGTAACAGCAGCCACGACAATAAGGTGTCCTTCCATTTTTTTTTCTATAAAAATAGCAAATAGAGACTGTTCAGAATTTAGTTTACACTGCCACAAACTTTTTTTTAGATAAATATCTTTTATAGTTATATCAATGTTCGTAAATCTAACATTATATCTAGACTGTTCAGTCCTGAGAAAAGCTATGCACGCTCCAAGAGCTGTCAAACTCCCTTCCCTCACTGTAAAATGAATATATATTGAAATTTTGAATAAACCTCAGGCATTTTGGGTTCTGAGGAACAACATTGTGCCTCAAGCATCTTTTTATTTTTAAAGTGTGCATGTAAAACTACAACTCCCAGGATGCACCACCCACGTATGTACACAGATATGTTTGGTTGCAATTGGTGGGTTGCCGGATATCAATGTTTATAAATACACTAAATCTAAATGTAACACTCCAAGAGCTGTCAAACACCCTCCCCCTCTGTAAAATGAAACAAACCTGAGGCATCTTTGAGATCAAATTCAACATTAAAGGGATAGTTCTCTGAAAAACCTTTGAAGACCCACTAAAGGCTCTCAGTTTGGTTATCTCTCAGTGTAGCCCAACTATCAAGGAAAGGTTCTGAGGCACTATATATATATATATATATATATATATATATAGGTTTTCATTATATGAACATTATATGTGACCCTGGACCTCAAACCAGTCATAAGTAGCATAAGTAGATATTTGTAGCAATAGCCAAAAATACACGGGTCAAAATTATCGATTTTTCTTTTATGCCAATAATCATTAGAAGTTCCATGAAGATATTTTGTACATTTCCTACTGTAAATATATCAAAACTTATTTTTTTATTAGTAATATGCATTGCTAAGAGTTTCATTTGGACAACTTTAAAGGCGATTTCTCAATGATCATGTTTCATGAAGATATTTTGTGAATTTCCTACAGTAAATATATCAAAACTTATTTTTTTATTAGTAATATGCATTGCTAAGAGTTTCATTTGGACAACTTTAAAGGCGATTTCTCAATATTTTGATTTTTTTGCACCCTCAGATTCCAGATTTTCAAATAGTTGTATCTCGGCCAAATCTTGTCCTATCACAAACCATATCAATGGAAAACTTATTTATTCAGTGTATAAATCTCAATTTAAACAATTGAACCGTATGCCTGGTTTTGTGGTGCAGGGTCACATATGTGAGGCATTTCCAAGTGTTCTGAGGAACCACATTGTGCCTCACCCCACCCCACTCCACTCCACAGTGCGCTCCTAAAACGACAACTCCCAGGATGCACCACTCGCGTACGTACACAGGCACGCTCGGTCGGACTTGGCGGGTTGCTGGAGCGTTCGTGTAGACCTTTTGTCTGACCATCTGAAGAACCTCGATTAAACAATAGCAAACTCTTTCTCCAGTCGACAGATTTCAAACGTTTGTCGAAACTTTAAACCGGTCTAGCTACACTGAACCACCTAATTCGGTGATATTTCGCCTTTAATTCAGAAATTCAAAGGTAAGTGGCTCTGCGTGCACGCCGTGCAGACTGAAAACAACTGTAGGATTGACTTTGTATTAGGAAATGTGATTTCTCATATATATGCATAAATATATACATACACCAAACAAACAGATGTGTTGAGTGCTTTAAGCGACATCCTGCTCTTTAATAATATTCCAGTTATATTTGAGAAATTGTTGGTAGTTTTCTGATCGGATCCAGGTCAACATGGAGAAGTGGCGACCATGCTTCTGCAACATTAGCCAGCAGGCTAGTCGGTGTCTCGTATTTAACGGCCATTTTAGGTTTGTAAAGTTAAAATTATCGTGCGTGGGAACGTCTTAATGCGTGTATTTATCGGACAGCATAAATGTAGTTGATGTCTTGGTACCTTTTGGCCCCACAATTGTGCGGGCAAAGGGTCAGTCTAGCCCGCCATCTCCGCGCGAGGCAGGAACGCCTTTCTCGTGCACGCGAGGCGTTCAGTATGGGGCTCGGGAAAACCATTTTACAGAGATTTACATGCGGTTTACAGTTGCATTGTCACCTTAAAATGTAACGCTTGGCCTCACTGGCTCGTGTTTAGCGCTGCAGCGTCGAATATTCTGGCAAAGCGTCTGCGCGTGCACGCCACCGAAAGGTTGGTTAAAACAAATACTTCAGTGCGCGCGACGCGTGATGGTCTAAACATAGTTTATCAATAACGTTAGAAATAAAATAATCCTGTACACAGTCTTACTTTAAGCAGTGAAATTAGCTCAAGTGTTAAGAATAATTATGGTCAAATTTGCTCAAGTGTTTAGAATAATTGTTAATGAGATTTAACAAAATTAAGACACAAAATGTCCAGAATCTTGGCTTGCAGCTTAATTTGTTAGATTTTGTTCTAGTTTTATGCCCTTTTTTGGTGACATATCTCAGTATTACAGCCTGGTTAGTGTTTGCTAAGAGCAAAACACATATGTGTGTGTTGTTTTTTTTCTGTTAAAGCATCTACTAAACAAAAAAATTGAGGGAAAACGATTAATAAAATTACATGATATTTTTTTAAATAGTGTCTTTTTAAAGTCATCTAATGATTCTTGTTCTAAATATGTCTGACTGGAGTTTTGGTATATAACTATTAGGGATGCTCCGATCGATTGGCCGGAGGTTCTCCACACACGGTTCGGCATGCACTAGGACCGCGGTTCATCTTAAATCTGACAATGCATCTGTAATATGGTTTGTTAGAGTTCGGTTAATGCATGTTTCTGTTGATGGATACAAATTCTGGCTTCCCAATACATTACAACAAGAGCGATGAGAGATAAAAAACAATACGTGGACAAACCAGTCACTCTTTGTTCAATGCCAGTGCTGTATGCTGGAATAACTGTCATTTATGCCGTCATCACGCGTTGATAGCGCAGGTGAGACCTGAACAGCACACGTTGCTTGCTATCTGTTTAAGCCTGGCCAGTTTAAATATTAAAGAGTCAGAAGACACGAACGCGCATGCGCAGTGAGAAGATCTGTGTGTGCTCATCCGAAGCGCGTGAACCCGCGTCTCAGAACACGCGCAAATATTAAGCTCTCTTTAAAGTATTGTGCTTGAATGGACAAATTCACACAAAAATTGTCAAAATGCCTGTCTTGGTGAGTATCCAGACATAGTCGGCTGAACATACAGTATCAGTGCACTGGATCAGTGTGTTGTCTTAAAGTGACAGCACTTTCTTAAAGTTTATTAAACGGCAACAACACGGAAATCACTCACCGCTCTTGATTGAATAACTTTTGTAACTTTAATAAGGAATAATTTTTAATTTATACAGTCAAATATGCAATGTTATTTTACATTTGATTACTTTATTCAATTTCTGTACCTAAAAACTGTTAGACGTACCTAAAAAAAAACCTGAAAAGCACTGTTTTTTTTATTTGTATCTTTGCAGCAACAACACGGAAATCTCTCACTGCTCTTGACTGAATAACTTTTGTAACTTTAATAAGGATTAATCTTTAATTTATACAGTCAAATATGCAATGTAGTTTTACATTTGATTACTTCAATCAATTTCTGTACCTAAAAACTGTTAGACGTACCTAAAAAAAAACCTGAAAAGCACTGTTTTTTTTATTTGTATCTTTGCTCTATTGCATTTATTTGTGCTGTTGCTTGTAGTTAGATTATTTGTTCTTATTTTCTTTATTTTTATTTGACAATATAGTTTTTTCCCTAAACATAGCACATACCAAACCGTACCGAAACCGTGACTAATGGCGCTTTTCCACTGCGTGGTACAACTCGGCTCAGTACGGCACGGTTTGCGTTTCCACTGCAGTTCAGTACCGCTTTAGAGTGGGCGGTATTATTTACATGTTGTTATAGTTGCGCCGCCTCTACTAACACGACTCCTAAAAAAACGTTTTCATTCCGCGTCGCCCCATCAAGCTCTCGCGGGGCCCGCTCCTCTGCTATCAACGAGAGGAACGTCTGTTCTTCCGCAACAGACAACAAAACTTTTTTTGGCAAAAGGCGTGCTCGTTCAAAACAGTTGTGTTCGATCCTTCGCTGGCTGTGCTGATTTAAATCTAGCAGATCTGTTGTTTGTGTCGCAAGTTCAGTGACGCAGGTAGTGACGATTCTCTCCGGCCAATCCGTGATCTGCAGAGTTTACACGGCACGTTTTGGTAACGGTACGGTTCACTTGGAACCTCAACCGAGGTGGTACTAAAAAAAGTACCAGGCACTGTACCCAGTGGAAAAGCGCCATAAAACAGTGATACAAACCGAACCATGAGTAAGTTGAACCGTGGCACCCCTACTGCTTTATCAGGCATATAACATGAAAATGACATCGAAAATTTTCCTTCCTTCGAAATAGGGATGTCAATGATTGATCGATTAATTGTCGATAAGAGATGCAATCGATTTTAAAAACAAATAGGCCTACCGGAACGCAAAAATTTAAAATCTGTCATTTTCCAGAACAAGATCCAGCAGTATCAAATTAAGTACTGCGACTGATAAACAAACACAGACCGGAAGTTAACTTCAGGCCAGGCACGCCCGATGAAACCATCTATATAAAGCTTGAAGCATCAGAATCGGTATCGGCCGATGACAAGAAATCGGTACTCCGTATCGGCTGCAAAAATCCTGATCGGAGCATCCCTATAAACTATTGTTACACTGAATGCTATTTTAGTGAATCATGCTAGAAATGTATGATAGGCAAAAAAATAAATAAGACATTCTATTGAGAGAAAAAAACAATTGCAGTTGTGTTAGGGGCCGTTTACACGACAACGGCATTTTGGGGACTGAAAACGCATATTTTTGAAAACGGGTTTCAAAGTGCAAGTTTTTGAAAACGCCACCGTTATCGTTTCCGTGTAAACACCCAATATGGGAATATTTGAAAACGGTGACGTCATGCGCGTGCGTAGTACGTGTTAGGTATGTAGACATGCGCAGTACATGTTGATTTTAAAGGCAAGCGCGAACAAACATATACAACAATGGCAGAGTACATGGTACTGTTGTTGCTGCTCAGGAGTTTGCTTGCGCTTCTTCAGCAAAGTGTGGATTTACTTCACCAATATTACAACCAACAGCGGAGACGCATCCCCATCGCGAGAGGTCACGGAAACCTTTCCAATGCAAGTTAAATATTAATATAATAATTAGATATTGCATATAATTTGGTAGAAAAACAGTGTTTTTACATTTACATCAGGTAATGAAAAGTTCGAAACACACTTGTGGTCTTCATGCTCACTTGAACACTTGGACCAAATACAGGAAATACGTCATATAAGTAGTCAAGTGCAAAGACCGCAAGTGTGGGTATTTGGACAAGGCAATCATATACAACATATAATCATCACTTCCCTACAGGTACTGCTTACTAACAAGGCGACAGTGCCAACTACTGGCCTGGCATACGTAATACAGCGTTTTTGGCCGTTTTCACGGATATGTGTAAACGCGAATCGTTTTGAAAACGTTGTGTATACGTGAAACTTTTTAATTGTTGCCACGCAATTTGTTAGAGCCCCTGAACTGTTATCCACAGTGCTGTTTAATTGTGTTTCCTGCCTTGTGTTGTTCTTTCCCTGATATCACATGAACCCCCCCCCCATCCCCTCTAACCCACACTTTCACTCTGTTCAGCACGGTTGACGTTGACAAGGAACCGGAAGGTTCCGCAGTCTCCACCCCTTCGACGATCATGAGCGAACCAACAGACACAGCTAGTGATGCTCCCAGCGTCACCGCAGGTGTCTCACAACTTTCTCCATCACTGCTGTTTTTCTTTCAAATGTGTGTGGGGGAGGGTTATTTCTAGATGTTCAGATCACCTTAACGTTTCTGTCTTATAAACAAGCCTTGATATTACTTCTGTTAAATCACGGAATGTTGTCTGTTTCCATGACCGCTGTTTCATCTGCCATGTGATCCATTATCTGTCAGTCTCCGCCCCTTCGACGATCATGAGCGAACCAACAGACACGGCTAGTGATGCTCCCAGCGTCACCGCAGGTGTCTCACAACTTTCTCCTTCACTGCTGTTTTTCCTTCAAATGTGTGTGGGGAGGGTTATTTCTAGATGTTCAGATCACCTTAACGTTTCTGTCTTATAAACAAGCCTTGATATTACTTCTGTTAAGTCACGGGATGTTGTCTGTTTCCATGACTGCTGTTTCATCTGCCATGTGATCCATTATCTGTCAGTGACTAATAGAGCTGCTGCTTCTGGTGATTTATAAGGTCAAAGGTTTGGTTCTGGTCTGGTGCACAAAAAGGACAGAATGAGTGTGTTTCAAAGTGATGAAATTTGGGCAACAGGTCTCGTTTGTTCATAACATTTTTAAAATCAGGATAATTACCAGTTGTATTCTAAGTGGCAAGTTGTGTTTTTTAACATTAGTTAATGCACGGTGAAATAACATTAACAAAGGTCAATAAATGCAGTGAAAATATTGCTTTTTGTTAGTTCATAGTTAATGCATTAACTAATGTTCACAAACGAGACATAATTGTAACTTTTTCTGAACTGATGTGTTTGCTATATTACCGTCTTTTGTGGTCGATTAGTAATGAAGCATTTGTTCTCCACGGTAGCTGTGGTATTTTCAATCATGAAGTGGATGTTAATATTCTGGGAGTTGAATTGCCACATACCACTATAATGCCAAAATTAGTGCTGAAATAGTTTGATGACAGATGAGATTTGCATAAAATTACTGAACTTTTTTTTCCCCCACACAGTATACACTACCATTCAAAAGTTTGGGGTTTGAAGAAATTCATATTTTTATTTAGAAAGGATTAGGGCTGGGTATCGAGTTCGATACGTTTTAGGCACAGACCGAAATGCCTCGATACCATCGAGTATCGAAAGCATCTCGTCGATCGGTACCAAATTTAGATACCTAAGGGGTTAATCTCATCAGCGTCAGTGAGCCAATAAGCCTGCAGCACTAGCCGGTGTGTTCGACTAGAAAAGGTGCGGCGCAGACCAATCAGTGTTTAACATTCGCGAGAGCGATTCGAAAGCGCACGGAGCAGTCTGCTCTCTTTAGCTCTCGCGGTACTGTAATACACCGATTCTGCACTAGACTTGTGACGGTATTCGGTAATGCGGTATATCACGGTAATGAATATGCACGATGATTTCATAAAATTGGTATCGAAAAAAGTATCGTTCAGGAACCGGTATTGAAGTCAAGGTATAGGTGTCGATATCGAACATTTTTGAACAATACCCAGCCCTAGAAAGCCCCTTTAAATTGATCAGTCGTGAAGATTTAGTTTTTTTGGTAATTTTTATTTAAACCTTCCTGAAAAAAATCCTGAAAAGAATGTATCACAGTAGTTTCCACAGCAATATGAAGCCGCACACCTGTTTTTAACATTAATAATCAGAAATGTTTCTTGAGCATCAAATCAGTATATCAGAAGAATGATTTCTAAAGGATCATGTGACCCTGAAGACTGGAGTAATGATGCTGAAAATTCAGCTGTGCATCACAGGAATAAATTACATTTTAAAATATATAAAAACAGAAAACATTTATTTTAAATTGTAATATTATTTCACAATATCACTGTCTTTACTGTATTTTGATCAAATAAATGTAGCCTTTGTGAGAATAAGAGACTTGTTTTGGTAGTGTATACGTAATTGACGAGCCTGTCTGAGCACATTAGTCAATATTGATTGGTTGATGCCAGTATCTCCTGATTGGTCTTTTAAAGTTAAGGGTCAAGTGGTTATGGTTCTTGTTCAAACTGGTATTTGATCTGCTTGGAATATGATGCTAACATTGTGATCATGCTGATTCTTAAGAAGCGATTGTTTGAACAGCTTAAGGTATGTCTGTTACATGGTTATGTAATTCAGATGCTTGCACTTGTAGATAGGTTGATAGTTCACCCAAAAATAAAATTTCTTCCTCATTGGCTCGCCTTCATGTCATTTCATTCCAATGTGATTTGTTGCTTCTGTGGAGCACAAAAGAAGACATTGGGGTGCAGTGTTTTGGACCCCATTGACTTAAATTGTATGGGCAACAGTTGGCAAACAGTTGAAACATTCCTCAAGGTGTCTTTTATCTTTTGCGAGGAAAAGAAGTCATGCAGGTTTGGAACAACATGAAAATGAGTAAATGATGACAATTTTAATTTTGGGGTGAACTATCCCTTTGAGGACAGTGAAACTGAAACCCTGAAATATTTTGATGTCTTTTCTGAATTTGTAGTTTCTGACCTTGTTCTCAAAAGCAAGAATTCCTCACAAAGCACTGTGGGTTTTTCACAGCAGTCAAAATGTCTCTGATACAGCAAAAAGATGTGTGAAGATTTGTCAACAGACTTTGACCATGGCATACCTTTTTTTCAAAATAAACCACGAATAATCACTCTTCCTCTCTGTGCACGACCCCCTGCTAGTGAAGTGTCACTGTTTGTGTTTGTTCTGCTCAGCCCCATAGTGTCCGCTTCATTTGTTTGTTTTTTTACTGTTTAAATACTGAAAGATGTGATTTTTCCATAGAAAAGACTGACCCTTTTCCTCTTTACTTCCCTCTTTCTCTGCAGACAGCAAGCTGGCGGCCACAGCTGGGAAGAAGCAGACCAAGAAGAAGGTGGAGGAGGTGGTAGAAGAGGAAGAGGAAGAATATGTGGTGGAGAAGGTTCTGGACAGACGGGTGGTGAAGGGCAGAGTGGAGTTCCTTCTCAAGTGGAAGGGCTTCTCAGAGTAAGTAACTACTATCTGCAAGATTTTGCATTTGTGTAAGGCAAGGAGCTTGATTCCTAAAAAACATGTTGGTCATTTTATCATTATATAAAGATATAGCCTTTGGTTTTGGTTGGTGGTCCAGCCCTTCTCCAATGAAAAAGATGGTTGAGAATATATTCCCTTTTCCTTAGTGAAGACAACACATGGGAGCCACAGGACAACCTGGACTGTCCTGATCTCATTGCAGAGTACCTGCAAAAACACAAACCAAATGACAAGAAAGAGTCTAGTGGAAAGAGGAAAGGAGAATCTGACACAGATGGTGGGGAAGACAGCCGGCCCAAAAAGAGGAAAGATGAGGTAAGATTGAATCATTCCCTTAAATGAGTACGATTTTGTAGACTTTTGGTATAAAAATTGCGCAAGTTCTATATTTTATAAAATATGCATGTTTTTTTTTCTTTTTAAACATTTCCTTTCTTTATCTTTCTTTACATAAGACTGCGTACATACTTATACTATATTTAAGCATTTGCCAGGCACTTTTAGGTGTTTATTAAATTTTGTGCACTTTTATATCCCAGGTTTTGCTTTTTATAAAAACTACCAGACCAACAAACGTTTAAATGTAACATTTTTTTTTATTTTGCTTTCATCAATTGTGTTCCTTTTCAAATACCTTTTGTGAGACATGATGCATGAAGAAAAAAAGATGAATACAGGGGTTCTGTGCCTTAAAATGATTTAAAAAGGTCTTAATTCGCCCTTTCGCATATTAAGGCCTTTACAAAGTCCTCAAGTTCATAAAGTCATGGCATTAAGTGTTGCAGACCTGCCAAACTCGGACCTCATAGTGAAAATCCCCCTGTAGTGAAAATCTAGTTTTTTTTTATGTTGTTTATTTGTCTATATGGTGTTTTTAATATGCCTTTAGACAAACCATGTGCCAATCTATTAATCAACACCATTGCTGAGTATTTTCTCCTTAAAACTGTAGTTTCCCAAAGGCTGACCCAGAAATACGGTTTGAAACAGCCCTCGGTTTGCTACGTCACAAACCAATAACCAATCACGTCAAGGGATCGATTCCTATCACTAGCATGCAAAATATACCAATACCAGCAAAAAACCAAAAATAAATTAAAGCAAAAAACCCACGAAGCTGTGGTTTAATGTGAATTTAGAACTGCTAACTTGCGTTATAACCCGTGGCAACAGTGTAAAAGTAGCCCGGAGTCAGACCCACCTCTCCCGCATTGGCATCTGCACTTCACACGCATATGCTTGCGGGCGCAAATTAAGAATCGCAAACGGCTGTATTCGAGTCTTCAAGGCATTTTAGGACACAACAACGTCCAGTAAGTAACTTTAACGAATGTTACAGTATTTACTACTGCACCCCATAAACACAATCAAGCCTATAAAAAAACCAGTCAACCACCCCTTTAAGGGATCAAATATTTGACTACAGGGGGACTTTAAAGTATACTGGAGTTTTTTTTTTGTTTTTTTTTAAATAGCATTTCAAATCGCTAATAAGAACTCTGTTGTGCCAAACCATCTGAACCAAACTAAAAACATTACTGGCATCACAAAATAGAATTGTGAAAATAATTAACACTCCCCACCTTTGGTCAAACAAACACGTCAGATCCCGAACTCCAGATACCAGTGTTGCTGTTTTAGACTAAGCTGGATGTTCACACAAAAAAAAGCAGGGTTTTGTTGGCATTTTTAGCTTAATTAACGTGCGATTATGAACAGAGACACTTTTTTTTTTTAAAGCTTTTACTGTAGCACACTTCACCTTTAAAACATTGTTGTATTTGAGTTCTTGTGTACATTCATACTCATGACTCCCTCAGATCTGGCAACCAGGGCTATGTTTCCCAAAAGCAGCTATGGTCGAAAGTTCCGTCATTACCAATAGAGTTCAATGGAACTTACCACCATAGTTAGCCAACGATGCTTTTATGAAACGCACCCCAGTTTAGTTTTTCTTTTGTTCAATACAGATTATGAAACTTGCTATTTGGCATGTTGAGCCAATGGCCAGATGCCTCTGGCTAAATTACATTATTTGAAGCGTTTGTATTTAAATCAAAACAAATATCTCAGTGGATTTTAATCTGAGAGGACTACATTGGATATTGGATAACATTATTATGGATTTTGGACTGAATAATAATTTTCAAATTTTAACCAGACGCAACAGTTTGAAAACAAGATGCATTGATGGATTTGTTTGTTTCAAACACAAGCTTTTCACTTCACAAGACATTAATTAATAAACTGGAGACCGTTTTGTTTTTTAATTCATTTTCATTTTGGGGTTCCTTTAATCATTCTCCCCCTGCTTCTTCTCTACAGGAAAAACTCTGACGAGGCAGATCTCGTTCCGGCAAAAGAGGCCAATGTGAAGTGCCCACAGGTGGTCATCTCATTCTATGAAGAGCGACTGACATGGCACTCCTACCCTGCTGAGGAAGAAGAGAAGAAGGATGACAAGAACTAGGCCTGTGAGGGAGAACGAGAGCGGTGGCAGGTCAGGGCCGTGTTAGACTAGTTTGGGCAGGGTGGGGGGAATTCCGGATATGGGCAGTTCAAAGATGGGGAAACAGACACCCAAAAGCTCTTTTACTCTCAATGCCATAAAACCTGGACTCAATATATATTCAGAGCAAGATATGCAGATGTGGAGTCATCTTTAGTGGGCAGAAGTGAATGTTAGTCAGAATACTGACCACCGTAAGAAACACAGGATTACTGTATTTCCTCTTTGCTTCTCTTTCTGATGGATTATGGGAAATGGGGTGTATATATGCTGCAGTAGTTGCTCAGTAGTTATTCCCGGCTGATAAAAAGGTGGTTGATGTCTGATGAGGTATGATATGCTAAATGCGGTGAATCCTATGTGCACATCCTCATACCTTCTATGTTTTTTCAGTCTAAATTGGAACGTTTCACTGTGTAATACGCCACCCTAAGTTAAAACACAGTAAGTACACAGCAATTAAAACAGAAGAAAAACAAACTAATTCACAGTGTGATTAATTTGATATGCGTGTACACTGTTTTCTCTGAATCTGAGCATAGTTTATGTTCAAAACTCCGTTTTGTGTGGTAAGTACACAGCAATTAAAACAGAAGAAAAACAAACTAATTCACAGTGTGATTAATTTGATATGCGTGTACGCTGTTTTCTCTGAATCTGAGCATAGTTTATGTTCAAAACTCCGTTTTGTGTGTGTGTGTGTGTAGTTACTGTGTTTTGTCTTTGTAAGGCGGCATGGCCCAATTTCTTAAGCCTTCTTTTTCTTTTCCTCATTTGTTTAGACTTCATCTTCAAGTCATTTGTTGTGTAAATACATTTGTCAAAACTGTTGTCACCTTATTAGTGAGCAAATTGCTGTGTATTGCAGTCTTGCTGTTTTAGCAGTATTTCTCAATTTGCATTCACCATGTATACAGTATTCTCATCTTTTTTGTTCACCATTTGAGGATATCTGTTGCATATGCATATATATATATTCATAAGGTGTTTTTTTTATTTTTTTGATAACTTTCTAGTCAGCTTAGTAAACTGCATGTCCCATAATCTCATATAAACCTTTTTTATTTTTAACTATTAGATGTCAGTGTGTTTAATCAGTTGCATTACCGTGTGAAGAGGAAATGTGCTCTTTAGATTCCAGCTTTTCAGACTGATCTTTCAAGTATTATAGGCTGATCAAGGTCTGCCAGACCTGGCTCGTAAATACTTTAGAAAACATTGATGAAAAGTGTGACACTTTGGTGTTGTACCCTCTTTTTCGGCGGTGCTCAAGATGTAGAATGTACTACACTGCTTCAAGGCATCTTTTTATCATAGACATATGTAAATGTGTAGTGAAGGTGAAAAAACTTGCTAACATCATGCTACAGGTCAGGTCTTTTAGTATCACCTTTGCACCAGCATAAACATGTTAGTATTGACAATATGCTAGAGTTTTAAAATGTTATCAATATCTTCAAAAAGTTTTTAAAATGGTTAAAATAGTGCTTGGGTCACTGGATACTGTTTTTTGCTAAGTATGGTATTGATAGTGGCATAAACTTCTGTGTACCGGAGGAGCCTGATGTACTTTTAGTTGTACACAATCAGTAATGCGACTGCATTATATTCCTTTCTGATTGTCTGTTTTCTCTTTTTAAGTCTACTGTTAAAAGCATGTTACTTTCTTTCATTTTCACATTTTCAAGGGGAAATGTTTATTTGTTCATTAAAATAAACCTTTTTTTATTAATTCTGTTTTATTATTAAGGTTACTTTATAAGAAATTTAGTTTGTTATAGTAAGCCGTTTTATAAAAAAATGAAACTGAAAATTACATACAATAAATATATTTTAATTGAAACAAGAACAATCCCAGCTTGTCACCAAGAACATGAATTCACTGCAAAATGTTTAACACAAGGTACATAAACAGTTGAATATAAAAAGGCTTAGATTATTTACAAGGCTTTTTAAAACATGAAATCAAATCCAGACCTGGTATTTAAAAAAAAATTCATCAATGAATTGTTAAACTAACTTAAATTCTAATAAAACCACACATACTCGAGAACAAAACTCCAGTTCATTCAAAACATTGTGGGTCAAAAATACTTTACAGTCTTATGTGAATGTTAGTCCAAAATTAAGATCACTTGGCATGAAGGTGCTTCCTGTAATGAGATGGCAAACCAACGCTTTTATTATACTAGTAAAGCGCAATGTATCCGTGCACGTATGCGTATAGTCAAAAATTACATACAATAAATATATTTTAATTGAAACAAGAACAATCCCAGCTTGTCACCAAGAACATGAATTCACTGCAAAATGTTTAACACAAGGTACATAAACAGTTGAATATAAAAAGGCTTAGATTATTTACAAGGCTTTTTAAAACATGAAATCAAATCCAGACCTGGTATTTTTAAAAAAATTCATCAATGAATTGTTAAACTAACTTAAATTCTAATAAAACCACACATACTCAAGAACAAAACTCCAGTTCATTCAAAACATTGTGGGTCAAAAATACTTTACGGTCTTATGTGAATGTTAGTCCAAAATTAAGATCACTTGGCATGAAGGTGCTTCCTGTAATGAGATGGCAAACCAACGCTTTTATTATACTAGTAAAGCGCAATGTATCCGTGCACGTATGCGTATAGTCAAATGCATAGTCTTTCAAAGTATACTCCATTTGATAGCATGCACGAATGCAGGCGGATGACACATGCACTAGGCGCAAAATTAAGATCACTTGGCATGAAGGTGCTTCCTGTAATGAGATGGCAAACCAACGCTTTTATTATACTAGTAAAGCGCAATGTATCCGTGCACGTATGCGTATAGT